GTGTGTGCATGTGTGTGTGCGTGCGTGTGAGTGTGTGTGCATGTGTGTGTGCGTGCGTGTTTATCCAGCTGATGTGTTGTTCTTCTCTTGAACTATGCTCTGATGTGACAGTAACTCATTGGTACAGTGAGAGAGCAAGGGCTGGAGGACAGACAGACAGTGTGTTAAAGGGGTCCAGAGTGATCGGATCGAGTCAAAGAGCGGCAGCATGCTCTCCTCAGGCGTGCGTCCGCCGGTGTTCTTCACGGCCGTCCGGTCGCTGTGTGTCGGCGCGTGCGGCCGTGAGGATGCGGCGACGGAGCGGCCGCTGCAGAGGAGAACCGGAGGAGTGCGAGACTTCCAGGAGATTCCTCACACCGGCAGCAGCGGCTGGATCAACCTGCTGCGCTTCTGGAAGGACGGGAGATTCAGCCTGCTTCACAAGCACATGGAGAGCACCTTCAGACGCCTCGGACCCATCTACAGGTGCAAACACCACAGCAAACGGGTTTGAGAGTTATGAATTCATGCACTAAAGCTGATGTTCTCCATCACCATCATCTCTACAGAGAGCCGCATTATCAATAACACTCATTTACTGAACTTGGATCTGTCATATAGAAATATCTGCCAGTGGAGTCAGAAAAATAAACTTGTTTTGCCTTTGAACAATTTTTTTCTGAGACCATTGGCGGATGTTTGTTCTTGTCATAAACTCTTTATTTAACATTTAAACAAGACTTCTTATGTCATTTTGCATCTCCAGTAAATATATATTGATTTAAAATATTTTAGATATTTGTACTGGAAAACAATGAACATCATAGATGATTCATCACAAACACTGTGCAATCATTGAAGAAATGTTCTTTATTTTGCAGCTAATGCTGCTTGATTCAGGCAAAAATCACAATCACGATTATTTAAAAAGATTACTAATTTTTTAACTTAAAAAACAACTTTTTTCAGTTTTAAAAATGACATTAAATATAATTAAACTGTTTGGTAGTTAATTAATGATAAATGCCTTTGAAACAAAAAGGCATGAAAAATACATAGCATTAATAGTTCTTGTATTTTAATGCATTATTTTCCTAAAATGCAACATGGTTGTTAAGCTGTAAAAATTTAAATTGGAAACATTTCACACACAATTTAAGCATTAAAAAGTCAATATTTTATATTCACCTTCCAGAGTTCATTTCCAAATATTTAAATCAAATGAAAAAAGCGTGCAGCTGAACTCAGATTGTGTGTTTCAGGGAGTATCTGGGCTCTCAGAGCAGCGTGAACATCATGCTGCCGATGGACATCGGGGAGGTGTTCCGATCCGAGGGTCTCCATCCACGCCGCATGACGCTGCAGCCCTGGGCCACACACAGAGAGACGCGCAGACACAGCAAGGGCGTCTTCCTAAAGTCAGTGTGTGTGTGTGTGTGTGTGTGTGTGTGTGTGTGTGTGTGTGAGTGTGAGTGTGAGACACATGTGTTACTGTGATGCAGTGAACCCAAAAACACCACTTCATCAGATCTCAAACGCTGCAGGATCTCTGTCATCACTTTTCTTCATTATTTCTGCAGTCTCAATCTGTTCAGCAAACTTCAGTCAGATGTTTTGCTGTAAAGTGTGCTTGTGCATCTCTCTGTACTGTAATAACGTTGCTGCAGGAACGGGACGGAGTGGCGTGCCGACAGGCTGCTGTTGAACAGGGAGGTGATGGTCACTTCAGCCGTACGGCGCTTCCTTCCGCTGCTGGATGACGTCGCGCAGGATTTCTGCCGTTCGCTGCGATACCGGGTGGAGACGGAGGGTGTGGGGGAGACGGGTCAGCGTAGTATGACCCTTGACCCCAGTCCTGACCTCTTCCGCTTTGCCCTGGAAGGTCAGTGTTGTGTTGTTGAGTTGAGAATAATTTTGTATATTCTGTTATCATGCTCTGGTTAATGGTGCAATCACATGCCCTCTCTCCAAAACTCCACCTTATCTCCAAACCCCACCCTCTTCCCAAAACCCCGCCCTCTCTCAAAAACCCTACCCTCTTTCTCTCCTCAAAACCCCACCCTCTCCAGTTATGACATTACTAGGTCCAAAAATTATTAGAAATGTCTGAATGGTTCACAATCAGATCAATAATGTGTCTCCAGCGAGCTGTCATGTTCTGTACGGCGAGCGGATTGGCCTGTTCTCGTCATCTCCGTCTGAAGAGGCGGAGCGCTTCATCTGGGCCGTTGAGCGCATGTTAGCCACGACGCCGCCGCTGCTGTACCTGCCGCCGCGGCTGCTGCTGGCCCTGCGCGCCCCCCTCTGGACACAGCACGCCACTGCATGGGACCACATCTTCAGCCACGGTGCATCTCACACACACACACACTCACACTCACACACTCACACACACACACACACACTCACACACACTCTCACACACACACACACACACACACACACACACACTCACACACACTCTCACACACACACACACACACACACACACACACACTCACACACACTCTCACACACACACACACACACACACACACACACACTCACACACACTCTCACACACACACACACACACA